AATAGTCTCAACGTTGTACATACAACAGAAGGTAGCAGAGGTTTGATGGAATTACTTATAGTAGTCTTCCGAGCAGCTGTCTAATAGAACATTAGACTACACCTGGAAAACATAGTGTAACCGCATCAATCTCAACTACAATAAACCATTGTCGTAATAGTCTATGTACAACTAATTAAGACAGTTGTTTTTAAGTAGTTGTCTGAACTTCTATATACAACACAATAAAACTGTTGTCTGAGTATATCCAAAATCGTAGACTCAATCGCGAGCAGACAACAAATGTTCAAAGTTGTGTTAAGCTTCAAAACACCGTTGTTAGATTTTGATTTGCACAATTGTTCTAAACCGAGGTCTAACATCCCTTCAGACAGCTGCTCGGAAGACTACTGAAAACATCAATTATAGACTACTAAAATAAACAGTTGTCAGCCTCTGTTTTTGACGTAGTGACATCTCAAAATACATTACAATTATGTTTAAATGTAATGAAGATACTTGAAATGCATGCAACTTCTTACTCTCTTATAGTATAGTAATGGAGAGACTTTATTCAAGACTATAAATACGCTATTATGTAATCTCTTATTTCTAACTTTCAAGTTTTCAATATCCACCGGATAACTTATACTCTTATGGCTTGTTGTCTTTTGTTGACAATTCAATTGTTGTAGACTTCAATAGATTGAACACCAATTGGCCTTATGCATGACTCAAATCCAAAATTGTCTCGTCCCAATGACTGAAAAAAGAACATAACAAAAAAAACATTACCACCAAAAAGAGAATTAAAGGGGATACAATATAATAACATTAAGAGTAAGAAAAAAGAATGCTCACCATCCATAAAATGATTCCCTGTTTGAAAAAAATATAAGCACATGCAATGAATTGAATAATGAGGTCAATAATAGTAAGAACTTGATAATGAGAACACACCTTTGATCATAAATATTAGTGATGAGATTCGGGGATGCATTTTTCCCTATAGACAATAAAATTTAGATGGGATGAGAAATAATGAAAAAGTTACCTGACTTGCAAGAGGGGATAAAATTAAAACCAATACAAAGAGTAAACTAAAAATTAGAGCCATTGAAATAAAAACAGCACCAAAGATTAAAACCCAAACTAGCAAGAGGAAACAAATTAAAACTATTGTTAATGAGCAAATTAAAGCTTAAACACATTCATCATGATTTATACTTATTATTTTTAACACTACTATAAAAATATTTGTTTATTATATGTAATTGAAATTAGTACAAATTACCCAAAGTATTTAGATATTTGGTGATTAAGGCCAGGTGAAAGACATCACTGCTCATAGAGAAGGGAGTGGATTTTTGTCTACTATCTACAAGAACAAAAACAAGCAACAAGGGCTCTAATTAATCAAGTTAGAACATTTTATCCCAAAAAATCAATAGAACAAAAAATATATTGAAAGAAATAAATGTATAATTGAAAATAAAATTGTAAATAAATAACACCATCTCAACTACATGACAATAATGTGCAATAATTGACAAGTAAAAACAAGAAAAAATGTTTAATTGACAAGGAAATTTCTACGAATTGAATATTTCAACCAATTGATAATAAATCATAATAATTGAAGCTAAAATCATCAATCAAATTGAAAAAAAAATTGAAAACAAAACAAACCTTGAAACCGACAAAGAGGCAGCGGCTGGTAGGCGAAGGATCGATTTCAGAGGGCAGCGACGAGGGTTGGAGATACAGTGGGGTGACATCGCCCGACGATTAATGGAGGAGGGAGGACAGCGAGAGGCGACGATTCACTGGTGAACCGTCTAGGGGTTGGTGTTCGGCCTACGGTTTCTGCCTGTTGGTGTCTAGTGCTGGAGGTGGGGCTGCATCTCTGGCCGGCGGATGCGGGTGGACGGGAAGATGTGGAGATTAGGAACTAGGATGGGATACACATCAGGTCTATGGTCTGGTGGAGTTTTGACACAGGGAACGGGAAGGGTTTCTGGTGATTTGGGTTTTTTGTGGATCTGAAACAAGATAAGGTTGGAGTTTTTATTTTAAAAAATATAACTCCAATCTGCGAGGGACTTTTTTGTTTCCGTTGCAGATCTGCGACAGACTCTTATAATTCCATCGTAGATTTGACTAGATTTTTTATGAACATGTTTTCGTCGCTTTTCCGTTGCAGATTTGCGACGGAATAACATCTGTTGCAGATTTCTGTCGCAGTTTAGGCGAATTCTTGTAGTGTAAGCTGCACTGCCAGTGCAAGTTAGGAAAAGTATTTATTTCTAACATTAGAATGTATCATGTTAATATAAAACATTCTCTTCATCTTTCAGTCATACATTGGTGGTGTAACTGCTGCGTAATTTATGTTGTATCGTCACCACATTTGTGATCTTTCACACCAGTAGGGT